CTTGTCGCGGTATACTTTGAAAGTATACAGATACGTAATATCCAGCTATGCATTGCAGTATTTGTTGTAATTCGATTGTTGTAAGTTACGCATTTGAAGTTTTATAGTGGAAACATTAATATTGAAAAGCAGCCAAAAACGAGTGTCAAAACAGCAGTAAAAAAAAGTAAACGATATTAACACCCAGAAAGAATAGTCATAATCCCCAAACCCTGCTCTACCCCTCCCAGATACCATAAAATATATTTAAGGAATAAAAGACGAAATACCGTGTTTGATACTCTGATCAAAACACGCGGGATGTAGGGAGAGCACGAGAGAAGCGTAGGAAACCACGACGCGTAGCGGAGTGGTTTCCAGCTTTTCGAGTGCTCTCTCTAGATCCCAAGTGTTTTGATCAGAGTATCAAACACAGAATTCCGTTTTTTATTTCTTTTCTAAAATTAAAAGAAAAAAGCAATTTTTGACGCGCGCGAGCGTGTTTTGATACTGTAATCAAACATGGTTTTCGACCAATCACAGCGCGCGTAGTATCCTAAATATTTTAGAAATTAGTATTAAGATGCAAAACACAATTGAAAGAATGCTTAGAGGAAGGGTTCTTCGGCATCTATGATGAGATTCGACCGCGGTGATAAGAAAGAAATCTATACTTTTATGGTATAGAAAAAAGATAAAAATAACCTCTGATGCATATATGCGTTCGTTCCGATGCTAAACTGCATACATATTTTTTACATGGATTTTTCTTTTACTGTGATACTTATTGTTTGATGTCTTTTGAAAGGAATACCAGTTTTGATTGTGGGTACTGCAGCTTTGATCAAACCATCCATCTACGACATGGCGCCAGAGCATCATGACGTTGACTGTGGCGATCAGTTGAGTTACCATATATCGATCATCAGAGAGTTGTAAGTCATTATTGTACTTAGAGGTCCTTGGTCAACCGGCATGCAATGCGGTCATCTTTTAGAATTTTTTTCAAAGTATTTCTATTTAATGAGCATAAATCGATAATAAATGATTTTTTGCATATGATACGATTTAGTTCTTCTTTCTATTATAAAAGAAAATTGGAGTTACAACGTGCACTGTCATCATTCATACATAGGACTGTGATGCGGTTTGAATCTCTTGTTCCTTGACTTGCTTTTTTTGTACACTCTAACAGAGGCTAGCGAGGAATGCTCGTTCCATTTTTTGACCTATAGCCTTTCACATGTATAGTTTCGGAATTTGAGTAAAAGAAATATCCTCGCTCTACCGTTAGAGTCAATTTCGTACGGTAGAAATTACCTCACGGTTACCGCACAGTTACCGGACCTGGCCTGCACAATTTTTGTGAAGCAATGAGACACTAGAATTTAGTTACAGTACGATTACGGTTACAGTACAGTACCGTCCGTTTCCCACTCATACGAAATTGACTCTATTAACTTTCCATTGTACAAATTACAATGTAAAATATGACCTCCGATATATAGAGGATATTACATGGGCGAGCGGAGATAGCAATTATATGATAATGTTTTATTATTACTAGCTGCTGGTTGAATGAYGGATTGTGGATATACAATGGACCAGTAGTGGGGATTCTTGTGGTAAGTCCATCATGTAGAATCAATACACTGTATTTATTTATTCACTTATTTCATTTGTCATTTAGATCAACGTAGTTCTTTTTGTCGTTTTCCTTCGTATCGCTTWTGGAAAAATTGCTTCAAGAATTCCAAACAACAGAGTAAAGAAAGCAAAGTAAGTTGATTATGAATCATTATAAAATTTTTGATATATAACGCGCGCTCTGATTGGCTGACGACCGTGTCTATATCAGAGGACAGAAACACGGCTTACCGGCAAAGTTTTCTTTTCGCTCGAAAAATTTTATAAAAGAAATATAAAACGGCCGCTTGTGTCTCTGTCCTCTGATATAAACACGGTGGGAGTTGAAAAACACTCGAGAAGCAAGAGAAACACTCGCTACGCTCGTGTTCCTAAGCTTGCTTCTCTCGTTTTTTTTTTTTGAACTCCCACCGTGTTTATATCAGAGGACAGAGACACGAGCGCCGTTTTTTATTTCTTAAGAAGAGCATGATATTTATTATTATAAAAAATTACTATCTATAAAACAAGCTGTGTAGGTGTGATATGATCATGAGTGTGAGAAGTTTTGAGAAAGTCAACTTACCTGACGTTTCAGCATCCTACATGGAAGTCATCTTCACTCTGAAGTCTGTATCTGTCTTCCTCAAGACTTTTTACACCCGGACGATCATTTCACACCTGCATTATCGCTCAGACCATTCACTCTTATCTAAGCTGCAATTAAAATAGTCAGTACACTAAATTTCATGATATCCAGACTTTCACTAAATTATCTCAACATGTCCAATGTCGCCTTGAAATATTTTGGCGCACTTATGGTCTTCTTCAGAGTTCCCTCTGTCACCTTGAAATGCAAACGTGCACATTAATGTGCAAAAAATCGGAAAAAAATCGGAAAAATCGCGCGCGCTTTGAAGGTTGTAATTTTGATGTAAATATGATGTAAGATTGATTATAAAACTCATTAATATTCATAAGGCAAAAGACAATAGAAATCATAGCCCATGAAGAGAGTTGTATATTACATACAGATTTCTTGTTCATTTGCATAAACTTTTACTCTGATTTTCTCAGTCAGATTGAATTTTTTTTCAAAAGTTTCTTTAAAACCTGAGCTAATTTACCTTAACGTTTCATAAGTAATATACAATATTCGCGTGCGATCTGTATGAGGTTTAAAACAGCTCGCTTTCAGCTCGCTGTTTTAAATCCTCATACAGATCGCCCGCTCATATTGTATATATTACTTACAGAATTTTGAACATTTACATCATATTTACATCAAATTTACAACCTTTAAAGCGCGCAATTCTTTCCAGTGATTGCACGCTCGACGGACGTACGCGTCTCGCTTCGATGCAAAGGCACGGTTGCAGCATGTTAAGATGGCGGTGGTAACAATGATTTGTTCGTAATCAAGAAGTTATGTTAAAGTTATACTTAACTCTCATTGTTATGCTTGCATTTATGTTCTTTTTCAATTTTGTTTTTCATTTAATTGACAGAAAGATGTTTAAAGGTGTAGCTGCCCTTCTACCCATACTTGGCATTGCATGGTCACTTGGTTTCGCTGTCAACTTTCATTGGATTCTTCTTTACATTTCAATTGTCGTCAACTCTTCTCAGGTGAGAATTGTCCCTCTAAGTGACGCGAATATTCCCAGTCTTATAAAATAGTTAATACACGATGTGTTTCTACATGTTTCAGGGCATCTTCCTGTGTGTGGTCCACTGTTTTATGGATGAAGAGGTACAAATGATGCAAAAAATAAAACAATAATAGCACCTATCCGAAATTTTGCGTAAAAAAAATGACATTTCTCTATTAGAGCAAACGCAGGAAAACCATGAAATTAAATCGAACTAAATATTAACAAATAGCGGCTATTTAGAGACAACTTGTCAGTATCAATGAGCCAGAAAACAATGAACATGAATCCGCATGGGACCATTTTTCATTCATCTTTATTGCGTTCTGGTTCGTTAATACTGAAAATTGGTCTCTAAATAGCCACTATTTGTTAGTATGTAGTTTGATTCTAGAGTGATCGCACTTAATCCGTGCAACTATACAAACTAAATAGTGATGTTTAGGTGTATTTAGTAAATTATTGTGCATGCGATACGCAAATTAAATTGAATTGATACAAATGAAGCATTCAATACCGTCTTGCTTCAGGTTCATTTTTAGTACAAATTAGTACTACTTAGATTTTGTACAGTTTTCCTGCGTTTGCTCTATTCTTCGCATCATTTCATTACGTCTGTTCCATGCCAATTTTAACTCAAAGTTTGCGTAAGTAATCCAAGAGTTATGGAGAGAGAGAAATGTATTGACTAAAACTCTTTTAAGGAGATATTTTATCTTGTCAGACATCGTTCTTTTATGTTAATATATACTCTCATTGTTTTGAAGCATTCTTTATTTCTGATATTCAAAGACTCTAAAAGCCGGGGAGGGTTTTGAATTCAGCAGGGAAGAGCGGGGATGATGAATTTATTCCATTCAAACTACAAACAGGTTATAATATATGCACCGTGTATTGATTGGAATCGACGCCTCTGCTAGTTCTACTTAGTTCTCTCTTCCATTATTGAAGCGACTTCGCTGTCTGAGGCTCCTCGACTTTCTTGTCTTCAATAGACAAAAAAGTCATTCATTTAGTTAAAAACAGCAGTTCAAAGTCAAGACAATAGCGTCACATGAAATAATCAACAGAATCGGTGAAATTACCTTCGCCAGTTAAAGAAGACTTCTCTTTTCAAAACTGTCCACYCTCTGCGATAGGACAGCTATCGTCATCCTTGTCAAATGACATTGGCGCCCGGACAGCACTCTTCAAAGATCTCATGTCCATCTCAGCAAAGTTCATCGTCAGGTCAACTCAATAAAATGCACATGTGAAAAGCCAATATTCTCTTTTATAGTCAATAGCATCGTGAATATACAAAAACTCACAAGCGTTTCAATGTGTTTTCCGATACAATGGAGTTAAATTGCAGCATGTAATTTGAAGTACAAAGCGTAGAGATTGTTATGTTTACTTGAAGCCAATAAGATTTCCGATTTATAGTTTTCATTATATGTAAAAGTTTTTATGGTACAATGGGTTTTATAAAACTTCTGAAAACTAAAACTATTCATTAGCCTGTTTATTGTAAAACACGAAGAATACAGTTTTGAAAGCACGGTTTTGTTTCTTCGAAAACAATGAGAGTATATATTAAATGGGATAATGGCCTCGCCCCTCAGCTTATTGAAAATAATGTATTTTCAATACAAACCTCTTAAAAAACCTGCTCTCAAGTAGTCTCACCTCTTAAGCGCCGGAGCTCATCCATTATCCTATACATAATTTCATGTATTTTATTTCCAGWAAATTAAAGAAAATAAAGCCGTTATGCTTTTTTGAAGATTGCAAAAATTGATCATATGAATGGTTTGACGTGTTAAATATCGTAATGTAGGTTAGAAAAGCTATAAGACTTCTAAAACAGAAGAAACAGGCGTCCATTGATATAATTAGAGTAGTACAAGAAGGTATGTATGAACATAATCACTTTAGGAATGATACTCTATTTTACTMATCAAACTRAAAACATAGACTAAGCCTCCCTTCCTGATCATCTCCCCTACCCTACCCTCACCTCCGCTCCCCTCCCCTCCCCTTACCTACAATGCTGCTGTGCGTGATGYTATCATACTCAGCAATGATTATAAGAGACTTCGCAATTATTATCTGTAGAGGGATTAAGTATACAGATGACGAGCAGGCTCTAAACGTATGTCTTGAAAGAGGGAGGGGTAAAGTCTAAGTTAATCAAC